ATGCTGACCGCCAAAGACATATATAGTTATAATGTGTAATCTGATATTTCCCCCCTTTCTTTTTCTGCCTCCTCTCTGACTGCTATAGATCTACTATAACTTTATCTGGTGATATACTCCCCCGCTCTTTGCAAAATCAGCAGTGTTCGTTCTCCTCTAATGGGGACAAAGTAGGAGTTCGTTCTCAAGTCCTAATGGGGACACGAGCGGAGTCAGTGTCCCTCTGCTCCAGATAAAACCGTCTTGACTGTGCTGGCTAGTGATTCATCTTAATGTCCCATTGCAAAACATTGAGAGTGCTGCGATTATGTGCTTACACTGTGGTCGGACACCCTTTTGATGGAATGCAATGCAGAAGCCACGGTTGTCTGGCTTCATCAGGGAAGTTGCCAAAAATGGGTCATGAAGATGCTTCCTGCAGTTACCCTCATCTGTGCTTGTGAGGCACTTTTTCGTGTGATACTGCTGTTTTCGACCTCCGGTTCACCACAATCTCATTAGACTGCATATTTTCCTCCTATTACTGCAGTGCTGTTGTTTCCTAACGCCAAGCTCATCCCAAAGGAAGATGTGTCATTCTGCAGACGGCTCCAAAGACGCACACACAACGCCACCGGCTTGTGATTAATGCGCCGGTACGCTACATACGGCATACATTACCTGTTCTGTAAATCTGTTGTTCTTTCTCCTCCCACTTGAGCCTATATATCCCAAAGCATCAGAAAACGTGAGTGAGGGGCTGGCTGTCGTACGTTCCCCTCCCCTCTCGTCTCGTCCCTTCTCTCCCTGCGGAGGCTCTAAACATAGACTTGCTCTGCCCTCCTGGCTCTATGAGGACAGTCTGTTCCAAGCTTGCGTCAAGCTGGGGGACTTCTCAACCTGAACAACAGCACCAGCCTGCACGTTCATGTCTCTCTGGAGAGCAGCACACATTAGACTCTGAACACATTTAACTTTCTGGCACAGGCAAAACAAAAGACATTTGTATGACATGTCATTGATTTGAATGACTGTCCATCTGTCCAGTAATTATTGATCTCTAATGCAAGACATCCTCTCTATTGATCTCTCCCAGAAAGAAGTCCAGCGTGTCTGACATACTGTACATCAGTCCCTATTTATGTCTCGTCTCAGCACGTTTCAGCTCTTTAATGTGATGGCGGACTTGGGAATCGAATAGTCATTATTGTTTGATTCGAAACAGTCATTGCTGCAAGTTTTCTATTACAGGCTGCTGTCATGAAGCATCAGTTTGAAGAAATTTTTCTGCAGGCACTTACAATGGAAATGAATGGGACCAATGTTTTGAGTCTGTAAGAAAAGAAATATGAAGGTTATCATTTTATATGAGCATTTGCATTCATTGCTCTGTTAAAACTTCTGTATTACTTGAGCTGTAAAGGTGTTTAAATTATTTTACAGTTGTTCTCGGGTTTTAGGTGTTGCATTATCATGGCTGTAAGCGATTTATCACACTAAAATCGTGTTTGCGTGTATATTATTTATGTCTTGTGACTATTCTTAGTATTTTAGAGTTTACAATTTTAACCCATCTGCTTTGACTCTAAGTGCCTCACTGTAAGCAAAGTCTTTGCAATTTTTTAAAGAAAATTGAAATAATTTTTTGTGATGGTATCCATTTTGTGTCAAGTTCTATCAGCTGAACTTAAACTGAACCCGTATTGAACCCAGAATATTCCTTTAATGGCACAGGCATTTAAAAGCAACTGTATCATCCCCTTGTGTACTGAGGTTTGTAATGGAAGAACACACATCAAGTTGTACAATGGAACCGCATGTTCACAATGGTTTGGCTAAGCATTTGCATCAGTATTTGGGTGCTTGAATAGAGAGTATTATTATAACTTTAAAGTATGCATTAGCGTTCAGAAATTGTGGGTCAGTAAGATTTTTTTTTTTTAAAGAAATGAATGCTTTTATTCAGCAAGGATGCATTAAACTGACCAAAAGTGACAATTTTCTATTTTAAATAAATGGTGTTCTTTTAAATCCTGAAAAAACATTAAACAGTACGACTCTTTTCAACACTGATGATAATAAATTGACTTTTGTTAATTACTTTTTTTTTTTGCTGTATTTTTTATTTAAAAAGAGCCTTGGTGAGCATGAAAGACAGGTTACAGTGTAGTTTTGTGGCTTTTAGCCCACGTATGTTAACCTTGAGGTTGATCTATCAGGTAGTGTATGATGGAAATATTTTGCATTGCAAAGAGTGTTTAGGGTTGTCAGATGCGCTATTTTGTGTGCAAGGGCGTATGTTTGTTTGTCCTGTTTTCCTGTCCTTTATCTTCTGCTGTATATGAGATTGATTGATAGTATATGAGTGTTTATGTATGCTGGTAACGGGGTGGATGTGTGCTGACAGCTTCCTCTTGTAGGGATGGGTAGGACACTGCTCTCTCTCTCTCTCTCTCTTTTCCAACTCCTTTTCTCTATGCAAAGGCAGTCACTGTGGCCCCTAACAGGCTCTGCCATGCAAAATGCATGAGCCGCTTGTGTAGAGTGAAATTGTGTGTGTGTGTGTGTGTGTGTGTGTGTGTGTGTGTGTGTGTGTGTGTGTGTGTGTGTGTGTGTGTGTGTGTGTGTGTGTGTGTGTGTGTGTGTGTGTGTGTGTGTGGTGTCTGCAGCTCAAACTCGGTGTATGAGACTCAGCTCTCTGTGGGTGGGCAGTTGCTCTTTCTCCCCCTCTGTCTCTGTTGTCTGTCTGTCT